TTGGCAGATGATCCAGAAGTGGTTTGCCATTGCCTTCTTCTGTGTATGAATGGAGTAATTGTTTGGATGCCACGGAGAAACCGGGGAAGCCCCCGGAGGAAAACTAGACCACGGCCTTGCCCAACCCAAGTTATAAATCTGAGCACCACCGGGAACTGAACCCGGGACCCCAGGATTACAAGGCTAGTGTTCTGACCGCTAGACCGCTTTAGTATTATTACGATAAATAAATGATCAATCGCACAGTTCACAGACGTGTAGAGGAATTTATGTTATATTTGTTATACATTGAAAGCAGCTTAAAACGAAACCTTGAATAAATGGAAACCCCCACAAAACTCCTGTTGCTCTGAGAGTCAAATGTTAAAATTAGCGCGAAAGAAGAAAGAGGAGATGGTGAATAAAGAAGAGAAGATGAGGAAAGGAACAGACGAAGAATAGGGTAAAGGGTTGGAAGCAGGAAGGAGGAAGGAGGGAGGAGATGAAGTTGAAGAAATAGAGGGTTATATAAAACAAATAAAAAGAAGAAAGGTATAGAAGAGGAAGGATGTTCAAGAGAAGAAATAAGAGATCACATAATAGAACGATATAAAGAAAAATAGGGAGAATATGAATAAATGGCAGATGAGAAAAAAGGGGGAAGAGACTAAATGGTTATAGCGACTATGAACAGACCTCGGTTACCGCACGTCCACCTGAACCTAGGTTATAACGCAATAATTTGTACGTATCTAAGGCTCTTCGAGTGTAAAATGTATCTATATTTGGATTGCCGTATATGATGACGGGTCTCTACCCAGGGACCGCACTATAAAGTAATATTTTGCTCGCTTGGAGGCAGTTCAGCCACGACGTGCAATTCGCTTATGAATATTTATGTATCGGGTGTGACCGAGGACGATGAAACGGCGAAGGAAACATCGTGTCGTAAATTCGGGGCCCACAAGACGTACAGGCAAACAACCATAACATTTTAAGCAAGTTTATAATTCGTCCCGAACTGTACCTCTCCAGAGGTCGCCATGGGAATGTGACTTCAACAGAACCTTACTGATGCTAGCCAGTAGAAGGAAGGGATTGTGTTTATTAGCAAAGAGTTCAAATTTTAGAAAATAACTAGGCCCTATTTTATGTAAAGATTTCAAGGTCGTAGTTCATACAAGGTAAATGTACTGTACAATGCAGCAACTTAGGTTAACTTAAGATGACATTACGACGTAAATATGACAGAAAAATAAATGTTATCAACATATTCATATTATAAACAAAATTTAAAAATCTTCGAACTGCGTAAGTAAAATATATCTATCTGGATTATGCGGAGTCCTAAGATTCTCCTCTAAAAAAGTGGTTTCTGAGATTTGTGTACGAACAGTGATTGACTTCTCAGCTATGAAGTACACATTTCCACCTAGTGTTCATTTCTTATCAACTTCACAGGTCATTTAGCGTAAAATATCAAGATTATTATAAATTATAAACTATAAAAAATGTGCAAAGAGTCAGAAATGGCCTATTTGAAATACCATCCCATTATATTTGCTGGGATAGAGTTCAGAAAATAACGAAAACCTAAAATAAGGAAAGAGACCTTATTGTATAAAATAAGTCAGCCAGTTATTATTTGGGTAGTTAAGTCTTTTTGTGTTTCGGAAAGTGGATGAAGTAATAACACTTTTGATATTAAATAAAGATCATTTCCGGATGGCGTTCTATTCTGAGAACGAAATACCAAGGGTCTCTGATTAAACACGTGGAAGCACTGAAAGTTCCCAGTTTCTGAAGTTTTTGTAATCCGGCACAAACCAGATCCCGATCCACTAAGCGTGACGTCACATCTGCGTCCTGTTGGTGAACTTGTTTAATTTATAGCATTTTGTGTCCTCATTAAAACTTTCGTGTCGCAAACTGTACTTCATCGCAATAAGCTCTATTAATGTTGTCTAAATATTGCCCGTTATGGGCACAACATTTCCTGTTAATGCAGGCCTACAAGACACGTAGCATAAAGGCAGAAACTGATTACTATCTATCCACTCCTAATATAATATTTGGAGTAGATAGATAGAAAATAGTACTGAAAAATCAACTTCTATGAAATCTCGTACTTAAGTTGCTCAGTATGCAAAATAGGAAAGGATAATGATAAAGATATAGAGATCATAAAGTTACGTCATATTGTGATAAATATATATTTGTTTAAATCTTGTCAGTCTAATCACAATAAAATTCCTATTAAAAATATTAAAATATTACCATAATTAACATTTAAATATTTAAATATATTAAATGATATTCTCTATCGAACATTTCGATAGAGAATATAATTTAATATATTTAAATATTTAAATGTTAATTATGGTAATATTTTAATATTTTTAATAGGAATTTTATTGTGATTAGACTGACAAGATTTAAACAAATATAAAGATATAGGTAAAAGAATTACGGACAACCCAGATTCTATGCTGTACTATACACAGAACCTCAAAAAACTAAACAAGGAAAGAAATAAGGCTGAAATTTTACAAGAAAACGGTTGTATGGAAGTGAGAGTTAGATACCCGCTAAGAAAGTCCAGAGCAGAATACAAAGTACTGACAAATATTCTGCGGAAAACCAAAGGCTGAACAAAACAATACCATATTAGAAGTCAAATCACAATAAAATATTATTATTAAATGTTAAAATATTAAAATATTATTACAATTAACATTTAAATATTTAAAATATATTAAAATGATGCTCTCTATCGAAATGTTCGATTTATATTATAGCATCATATTTTACACTACATGTAGCATCATTTTAATATATTTTAAATATTTAAATGTTAATTGTAATAATATTTTAATATTTTAACATTTTATAATAATGTTTTATTGTGATTTGACTGATAAAATTGAGCAAGTATATATTCAACACAATAATGACGCAACATTATCATACCATATTAGAAATAAAATTATAAAAATAAAATTAATATATACCCTGTAAATGATGTAATAAGCGAAAATAGTAATAATTGATTATAACATTTAAATATAATGCAAGAATTACGAAAATAGCACTTCAGTACAGACTTTCTTGAAAGAGATAATTAAGAAGACGGAATACGCAAATTACAAAATTTATGGAAACACGAAAAATAAGTAGAAGGTTATCAGCTGCTGCCCTTAACCACGCTCAACTATTCGATTGTACCGTTCGTACGTTGAGGATAAAAATAAAATTAACTTCTGACGGTACCGACTGTGGTAGGAAGACATGCAAACGCGGCTGTGGTTGCGCTTATGGTGGGGTCTGGCGGGGTCTCCGTTTGGCATGGATATGGCTTCAGTAGCCTTGAAGATGATTCCATATTTAATTTAGTTTACACAAAAAATTTTAATTTTGCACTTACAATAAGATTTTCGAGGATAATGTTACAATACATTATATTACTGTTTAAGAAAGGACAGGTACATTCCTGTAAAACTTAAAGGGTTATGTACCCTAGTAGCCGTAACAATAAACAAGCTATAGCACATATGTAAGACTTGAGGTTCTCACAGCGGTGAGTATGAAGATTTCCGTCTTCTGGGTTGTTGCGCCGTGTAGTCTGGTCGATGTTAACCAACGTTTCAGAGGTCATACTGCCTCCGTCATC